AGGGACCTGGGGGTGCTGATTGACAGGAGGCTGAACATGAGCCAGCAGTGTGCCCAGGTGGCCAAGAAGGCCAGTGGCATCCTGGCCTGCATCAAGAACAGTGTGGCCAGCAGGAGCAGGGAAGTGATCCTTCCCCTGTACTCTGCATTGGTGAGGCCACACCTTGAGTATTGTGTTCAGCTCTGGGCCCCTCAGTTCAGGAAGGATATTGAGGTCCTGGAGCAGGTCCAGAGAAGAGCAACGAGGCTGGTGAAGGGACTGGAGCACAAGTGCTGTGAGGAGAGGCTGAGGGAGCTGGGGTTGTTCAGTCTGGAGAAGAGAAGGCTTAGAGGCGACCTCATCACTCTCTTCAACTACCTGAAGGGAGGTTATAGCCAGGTGGGGGTTGGTCTCTTCTCCCAGGCAACCAACAATAGGACAAGGGGACATGGGCTCAAGCTCTGCCAGGGGAGGTTTAGGTCAGATGTTAGGAAGAAATTCTTTACAGAGAGGGTTATCAGGCATTGGAACGGCCTACCCAGAGAGGTGGTGGATTCACCATCCCCCCTGGAGGTTTTTAAAAAGAGATTGGATGTGGCCCTTAGTGCCATGATATAGTAATTGGAGTTGGATCAGGGGTTGGACTTGATGATCTTGGAGGTCTTTTCCAACCCAATCTATTCTATGATTCTATGTGCCAAGGGACACTGGTGTCCTTGGTTGGTGGCTCAAACCCTTTGGTTCCAGGAGGGACTGTCTTGATGCCAGGGATGTTGGTGACACAGCCCATGGGACACTTCTCCTTTGGGACTGGTGCTCACAGGGCAGGGACTGTGCCCCCCTGGGTGCCCTTGGGGACAGCTGGGCATGGCTGTGGGGGCTGACCCAGAGATGGGATGTCCCCAGGGCTAGGTGGGCAATGCATCCGGCTCCCTGCATGGAACCACTCCTCAGGTGGGATCGGGATGTGGGATGGGCTGTTTGTCCCACAGGGTGAGCAGGAAGGATGTGGGGCAGCACTGGGATAACCCCGGGGTCCAGCTCTGGGGGCACCAGGTCAGGCAGCTCATGAGATCCTCGAGGCAGAGGTGAGCTGTACCTGGAAGGTGACAGTCTGACCCAGAGGGATCTTGGTTTCCTCCCAGTCGTGCCCTGAGGGTTGGACTGGGCATGCTGGGAGTGGCACCAGTAAGGCTGATGCCTGGGCAGGTGCTTCATGCCCTTGGAGGTGTCCCCTCAGCCATGACACTGGGGTGCAGAGGCTGTAGCACAGCAATGGGCTGAGATGTCCCACTGTTCTGTCCCCATCCTTGTCCCTCCACATCCCCTGAGGTTCCCTTCCCTTCCCTCTCAGGTATGCCTTCACCGTCATGGCCAACATCACTGTGTACGGCCTGACCTGGCTCCTGCTCAACTTCCAGACAGACCAGCCCGACCACATGGAGCACCTGGGCCCCCAGGATGTCCCTGTGTTTCGGGTGAGTGGCAGGGAACAGTCCCTGGGGTTCCCTCTTCCCACTGCTCAGCTGGGGAGGTGCTGCCGGGGGCGAGAGGGCAGTGCCCTCACCTCCCTGACTGCGCTGGGCAAGGGCCACACCGAGCCCTCCCTGGGCTTTTGGGAACCCCTCCTTACTCTCCAGACTGCTGGGGGGCTGATGATGGGCCACCTCCCCTGCTGTGCTCACCCCTTCTGCTTCACCAGAACCTGGCCCTCATCGTGGTGGGGCTGGGGGCTGTGTCCTCCCTCATCTTCCACCTGGGCACCAAGGAGAAGCCGTACCCACTGGGTGTGCTGCCTGACCTGGAGGAGACCACCCCCCTGCTGCACAAGGAGCCCCCGAGCCCCCCACGCCCGCTGCTGCTCTGGAAGGACTGGCTGCTGGAGCCCTCCTTCTACCAGGTACAGCTGGGCAGGGCTCACCTGGCCCAGGGGGCTGCCTGCCTGGGCACTGGGGATGTGGAGGGTGGGGCTGTACTGGGCACCCGACCTGTCAGAGGGGCTGTGCCCTTCTGGGTGGGCACAGTTCTGTGACAGGTGGGCAGGGAAGGTGCCTCCCCACGGGTGAGTGGGGCTGTCCTGTCCCTGTCCCCTCACAGGTGGCAGTGCTCTACATGTCCACCCGCCTCATTGTCAACCTGTCCCAGACCTACATCGCCATGTACTTGACCAACTCACTGATGCTCTCCAAGGTGGGCACAGGGCAGGTCCGAGGGCACCTGGGCAGGGTCCTGGTGCCCAGAGATCATCTCCTCCCTGTCCCTTGCAGAAATACATCGCCACCATCCCCCTGGTCATGTATGTCAGTGGGTTCCTCTCCTCCTTCCTCATGAAGCCTGTGAACAAGTGGATCGGTCGGAATGTGAGTCTGGAGGCACTGGAGAGGTTGGAGTTAGACCCCACCAGGGGCCAGATCCTGGCTGCGGGCAGAGCATCCAGCACCTCTGAGCTGGAGAGCAGGGACCCCTCATGTACCCTCTGCCAGCAACCCCCCACTGCACTGTGGGTCCTGCTGGGACTGGGGGTGGTGGGCAGGTGTGGGGATGAGGGCCTGTCCTGCACATCCTGGGGCTGGGGAAGGCGGTGCTGGTCCACAGCCACCCTGTGCTGTGCAGCCCTGACCAGGCTGGAGAGCCCTGAGGTGCCTGAGGTGGGCAGAGGGCGGTCTGGCTGCACCACCCTGGCTGGGCACAGGGGCAGCAGGAGGGAGCTGCCCCCCCCAGTGTGTCCCCTCCACGCTGCTGGTTGCCAGTGGAGTGTCCCCTGAACTCATGGACACCCTGCCCACAGCTCTCCCCAGGACTGTGGCTCTCTGGCTGCAGAACAGTCCAGACCATGGCAAGGTGGTGCTCTTGGGGGCTCCTTGTTTAAATCCAGCTGGGACAGAGCCAGGGCTGTCCCTCGTGGGTCCTGGGTACTGCTGGCCCCTGTGCCCTCTCTGCTTGCCCCTGGTGCCAAACTGGTGTCTGAACTCCCCCTTGTCCTTCTGCCCCTCCCTGTCCCAGCTGACCTACTTCGTGGGCATCCTGGTGGTCCTGGCCTTCGCCTCCTGGGTGGCCCTGGCCACGCCGACGGGAGCTGAGGTCTACGGAGCGGCCGTGCTGCTGGGGGCTGGCTCTGCCACCATCCTGGTCACCTCCCTGTCCATGACAGCAGATCTCATCGGCACCAACACGGTAGGGCCGCTCCTGCGGGGGATGGACCGGGGATGGCAGCAGTGAGCCTGTGCTGGGCTGTGCTGCAGTGTGGGCTCTGCCCATGAGAGGGCACAAGGCTCCGGCTGCGCGGGGTTGTGTGGCACAGCTCAGCTCAGCACGGCACCCGCTGAGGTTCCCTCTCCTCCTGCAGCACAGCAGCGCGTTTGTCTATGGTGCCATGAGCTTCACGGACAAGATGGCCAATGGCCTGGCTGTGATGTTGATCCAGAACCTGCACCCCTGCCCGTGAGTGTCTCTGTGGGGCAGGGACACCCCCCCCATTGCCTGGGGGCCAGGAGCAAATATCCCAGGGTTGGAGCA